ATACAAAGTTCCAAACAAGTGCGTACATTCCCAACTATGATTGGATGGTGTGGTGGCGTCGGTCTGGTAAAATTTACATCCAATTTTCAAAATTAAGTCATGATCAGTGACCTGAGCTCAATCTATACATACTTTAAAAGTATTCTCACAAAAAATATTTTCGAATAAAAATGAGCCACAGGCCTTGTAAAAAATCGAATATCACTTGACATGCAGAAATAATTTATTGGGCTTCAGAAAAAAAGTGTTCATTTAGTTGTAGTCGTAAATTACTTGGTGACCAGTCAATGAACAATTTGAAACTCATTATACACACGAAAGTCCTTCGATACTGAATATCATCGACCCCAATCTGGTTTACCTTATTTCCCAACTTGCAAAACTGATTTGTATCTCAGCCCAGTTTTTCTTTTTTCGAATTGAGGTTAAATCCCAGTCGTTTGTCAAAATATAGCAATGTTTTTCAGTGAATGATTGTGAAGCCTGTTACAGCACAGTGAATCGACGCCAGAGATTGGATGGTACGACGACCCTTAAATTAGCATCAAATATGCTTTGTTACAACATCATTGATTGGCTGAGAGTCACATGATCGGAGCACGACCTGGGTCACAGAACCATATTTGTCCGTATTATCAACGGAACTTTGCGAAAGAACCACACCCACATTTTCAACCATTTTTAGCGCGGAAGTTGCCAACAAATGTTGAAAAACTCGTGAATTTTATGGATTTGAATAAAATAAAGCTAGCGATTGGTAAGACTGGTTAATAATATATCCCCCGATGCTCTTCGCATTTTTTTATTTTATTTCAAGACGAGAAATGGATAATTAAAGTTCCATCGATTTCAAGGCGACGGTTTCACCGCAACAACTCCATGCTGTGTTGTAGTTTCGCGAGGTAAAAAAATATATAATAAATAGTACTTGTTTAATTATTTGGTTTTACAGCCCGCAAATTACGGGACATGATCCCCATGAATTACGATAAATTAATGCTGATTGTGTTGAATGATGGACGTCGGGGCTGTTTGGAGAAACCAGCGGGGATCGATATTCCAAACAAATTATTGGGACATGGTCGGTAGACTTCTATTTAGCTTCATGGTCCTTCGGCTTGTGTTCTCCTTGGGGGAAATAACAATAATTATACAAATCGTAAACTCAACACAGTCAGGAAAAGAAACCCTGACAACCATGTCGTACATCTGTTGAAATACATTTCGTAGCAGTGTGTCAGAATATTGTTTAAAATAAAATAGTCAATCCCAGCCAAATCTAGGTCAAAGGGTCAGATTGCGTGCATATAATTATAGATAGTAAAACAAAAAGTATTTGAACTTTTAACGGTTGTTCAACATCTATGCACAGTTACTAACTAGTAACCGTGATCTATGAAAACCAGAAAATTGTTAGTAGTCCGAATTTTTGCACAGTTGAAAATAAAGCGGAAATTCAACAAGCGGTCGCAAAAGCGAGCGATTGAAAAGCGGAAGTGGGCGAAATGAGTTCTGTACTTCTTTGTTTGATGAAGCAATGCTGATGCCACATTGTCGCCATAATGAGGCCACAAGGAAGCGAAGCGATAATCGCCTAACTTTTTAATGTCGCGACATTGATGCGATGCTGAAGCCATAATAACAATGCCATAAAGATGCGATGCTGATGCGGTTTGATACTCAGTATGTACCTTGGGTGGAAAGTATTTTGAATTCTCTAATTTTAGTGAATATTTTTGTAATTTTTAGTGAAATGCTATTATCACTTTGCTTGGTATACATGTATTTTTACTTTGGATGGACTTCTATTAGATTGGAATATTTCATGACAATATCATTAATTCTGTAATTTTTTGTCAAAAATGCTATTTGACTTCTTGCAGGTTTAATTGATTTGATATTTAGTACCTAAGCAATATTCAATATTCAATATATGTGATTGTCCATCATCATCCATCACAGTCAACTATAACATTTTTGATAACTACCAACTTTAACCACTTTGATACTTGATATCTAGGTACCTTGGTTGGATCTCTGTCAGATTTGTTCATTTTCTCATGATATATTTGATTCTCTGTTTTTAACAAATATTTTTGTGACTTCTATGAAGTTCAGGAAATTTGTGTTCCTAAGTTAACCATTTTTAAAAACTAAATTATTAATAGTTCACATTCTCAGAAAATTGTCAGTTTGTATTATACAATTATAATATCATTGAACTGATTAGGTTTCATTGTTTACACTTACAGATGTCTCAACTGATCAAGAAGTAAATTCAGAGAATTGTGAATCTGCTAATTGCATTCTCTTTCTATTGCTACATGAGAAACAAAGATGTTTGAATCAAAGAGAGATTATTTTGACAGACACAGAGTGTTATGAATTTCCCAAACTGGTGCTGCAGCGACAGAGAAATGGTGAGAATCCCCCATTTAGTATCAATGAAGAGAACACACCTGTTCTACAACAACAGACTATGGAACCTGCTTTGAGTGGAAGCCAAGTATTGTCTTTGTTACCCTCTCAAGAAAGAGTAGCCGATTTGTCAGATTCACAACAGACTACCAGCTCAGCTCAAGATACTTCGCAGTCTGATCAACTGAGGCCTCATTTGACTACATCATCATCGCCTCCAAGGTGGTCATGTTATATACGCCATGTTGGGAGCTCTCGTCTCCTGATAACCATCATGCCAGCTAGTTATAAAGATTTGAAAAAGATAATGAAAAGCAGTGCTGCCATGGAAACTATGTCAGAAGATGCTGCTAAGGAAAACAATAAAGATGAGAAGAAGGTCTTACAAATGGAAAGTACAAAAGTAGAAGAGATGAAATGTGACAAAAATCCTGCTGATTCTAAGAGACATCAATCTGGTTCCTCTGACAGCTACCCACGTCCAGTATACCGAAGAGGAAGAAGTGTTGATGCAAGCCGTAGGGCCAGTCAGCCGAACAATGGCGGCTATGGTAACAGTAATGCTTTAACATTACCAGTTTATGTTTACGAATGCATATATTCATCATTAACAAGTCAGCTTGTGAACAAGGCAAAAGAATCAAACAAACTGGAAGATGTATTTCAGGATCAACGTTTCCAAAACATGGAATTTAACAGTTGGGAAAATGATGAACTGTCAGAAGGGAATAAGATAAAAGAGAGAACAACAAGTGGTGGGTCTGGCAAGTTTTTCAAAGACCAAAGACCAGCCTCTATTATAGGTCAGAACTTAGAATTAAACTGGCATTGTAATACATTAGTGGATGCCTACCAGCAATGCTTTGCTACTGGTTTGTATAAAAGTCTTTGTACAGAACAGTATGTTGACAGTGTGGATGTACAACTAGTAGTGGATCAACTCTGTGAAGAATCTTGGCTAGAAATTGATGTGACTGACTTTCTACAGGCTGTATGTGGACATATTAATAATTTCAGTAAAAAGGTAATTCTTTCTTTTCCTATGTGCATTGTTAGTTTGGTGTTTCTAGAAATACACAGTTTTTTGATTCTGTGTCTTAAACAGACTCATTCCAATATTACCTAACATATCTAACAGACTTGGTATGACAATTTTACTACTACTAATGTCTCTGTTGCTGTCATGATAAATATTGTACAGATTAGGTGGAGGATTATAATGATGATATTTTTAATCCCTTTTATTAAGGTTAATCAAGAGGAACATGCAATGGAGAGCTTCCAAAGAACAGCAAGGCTGAAAAATCAGAGAGACCATGATACTGAAGACAAAAGTCCAGTGTCTAGGTAACAAATTTAAATTAAAGTTCTTTTCTCAATTTACTGAATAATACACAGTATCCTTGTGTTTTATAAACACAATCACTTTGAAACTATATAATAGTATTTTGGCATACATGTATAACCGTAATATTATTTAAAAAAAATTCAATCTTGCCTGTAAATTATTGCTTTGACCAAAATAAACCCAAACAACTTTATAATAACTTTTTGATCATAAACTGCAGCCAAGGGAGGATGTTCATTTGGTTCTAAATTAACAAAGAAACTACAGAAAAATGTGACATTGTGGCAAATTTATATTAAGTTAATATTATTAGGTT